CCCTCTGCGAAAAGCAAACTGAAAAACAATGACTTTCTTCCAGAGTTATCTATTCTCTTCGCAACACACTCCAAAAACTATACAGTAATTCTTGGCGACTTTAATGTGCACTTCAACACTCCCGAGAAGTCCGAGGTCAAGAAATACATTCAGCTACTGAATACTTATTCCCTTACCCAGCATGTGTCTGTCGTCACACACACATCTGGCAACATTCTTGACTGGATTATCACACACAGCAGCTGCAATATTATCAAAGATGTCGAAGTCATCGATCGCCAGATGTCTGACCACTTCAATGTCTTCTTTGCTATGGACTTAATTAAGCCAAACAACAAGCATTCAATCTTGATGTGTCGAAACATCAAGAAGATTCAGCCAGATAGTTTCAGACTTGACTTGGTTAATTCAAACATCCTCACTGATCCTCCCCCTGATGTTGAGGACCATGTTGAGCTCTTCCATGACACCCTCACATCTCTTCTAGACAAACATGCTCCGGCAGTTGAGAAGAATGTGATACTCCGTCCTCATGCTCCATGGTATGACGAGTCCGTTCGTCGCTCTAAGACACAACGGCTCAGAGCAGAACGTCAGTGGCGTAAGACACTCCTGGAAATTCACAGGCAGATATATCAACAGTGCCGAAATGCTACCACCTCTTTAATCATCTCCGCTAAAAGGAAATATCTTGACTTGTTGCTGCCAAGCATTACCAAAATTGTCAACTCAAGTTTGGAGAGTAGTGTATTTCCATCCAGATTCAAACCAGCGGTTGTCAAACCTCTGCTTAAGAAACCTGATCTTGACTCTCAGAATCTTCAGAACTTTCGACCTGTCTCAAATTTATCCTTCATTTCCAAGATAATTGAGAAGGCCGTGCATTTCAGACTCAAAGACCATCTCTCTAAACATCTTCTGCTTGATGAATTTCAGTCAGCGTATCGGCAATACTATAGTACGGAGACTGCCTAACTGCAAGTGACGAATGAGCTTCGTTGTGCTGTCGACGATGGTAGGGTTGCTGCTCTAGCGTTGTTGGACCTCTCTGCAACCTTCGACACAATCGATCACCATAGACTCATGTCCAGGCTCACACAACAGTACGGACTTGAAGGTCATGCCCTTCAATGGGTGACGTCTTATCTGTCTCACCGACAGCAATCTATTGTTGTTGGCACTGAGAGATCAAAAGGCACTGTAATCACATGTGGGGTGCCACAGGGATCAGTCCTTGGTCCAGTCCTGTTTGTGTTGTATACCGGATATGTCGGAAGGATTACTACAGACCACACAGTTTCTCATCATGCCTACGCTGATGACACCCAGCTCCTGGAAGCATTTCATCTGTCAGATCTATCTACGTCTCTTCAGTGCATCGCTGAATGTACGCAGGACATCAAGTGCTGGATGACAGGAAACATGCTTAAACTTAATGACACCAAAACAGAAGCAGTTCTCATTGGTACAAAGCAACAACTCAGCAAGGTCAAAACCGACACCCTCACAGTCGCAGACTCTGACGTCAGATTCTCTGATGTGGATAAGGACTTGGGTGTCCACATCGACTCTTCCTTGACTCTGGATGCTCATGTTAACTGTCTGAGCAGGACCTGCTACTTTCACCTAAGATCCATTGGTAACATTCGGCAATACCCGACAACTGCTGCAACTCAAGCCCTTGTTCGAGCTCTTGTTACATCTAGGCTTGATTACTGTAACAGCATCCTTTCAGGCCTCAGTTCTAAACTCCTTGATAAGCTTCTGAAGATCCAAAATACTTCCGCCCGCATCATCAGCAAGACTCCTAAACGTTCCCATATAACACCAGTGTTGAAAGAACTGCACTGGCTACCAGTTAGGGCCAGAATTGACTTTAAGATCCTCTGTCTGACATACAAGTTCCTCCATGGTTTGGCTCCCTCCTACTTGTCTGAACTCCTACATCCATATGTCCCCGCACACAACTTGCGCTCAAACACACAAAACCGACTGGTCATCCCATCCTACAAACTGAAATCCTTCGGACACCGATCATTCTCTTACTCCGCGCCTGTGCTTTGGAACTCTCGCCCATGTGACCTTAAAAGCTCTGCCACAATTGACATTTTAAGTCCAGACTTAAAACCCACCTTTTCTCAGTATATTATGTATAACTTCATCTGTAAATACTCCAGTGTAAATATTCTGTAGCGCTTTGAGCATGCCTTAGGGTGTGGAAGGGGCGCATTATAAATATGCATTTATTATTATTATTATATTATTTTGTTTGAAATTTTATCTTGGTACCCCCCAAAAGCGCAAAATCTGCACCACAAACTTCAGGTAATAAAATATGCAAAAAACATTTTGTGTGTTTGAGATAGGTAGACGTCCGCTAGAATCAAACTTAGATATTAAAGTGGATAAAAAAGCAATTTGAAAGTACAATCGCTTGTTAAAGTTATTCCCCTTTCATGTTTACTGAAACAGCTTGATTTGGAGACACTACCCACCCCCGTTCAGACGACGAATTCATAAGGACATAACTTATTCTTATGTTTTCACCTTTTCACACATGATGCTACAGGTTTAAAGTAAATATTGAATGGTCACACAAGTGTCAACTCTCAGTATATTGTAAACAGGGCCAGCTTGAATATCTGGACACAATGTTTTTGAAAGACTAAAATGGGTGTGTCCTTAAAAAAACAGCCCTGTCTAAACATAAATCAAGCAATCCAAATCTTTGAATTTTGATTATCTGAGGGCATACCATTATCCAAGAGGTACTAAATGACGGATCGTTTTTCATTTTCTGCATTTTTTCTAGAAATATTATACCCCAATGTGTTGTGATGACTAATTTCTCGTTAATGACATTACCCGCATATGTGAAATTTGTTATACGTCGAGAATATAGTTAGGCTAAGTACTTTTTGACCGACCCTCGTATCAAGAAAATCCACTAAATATTTTTTGCGATATCTCACTGACTATCTTAACAAGCAATTTAACATGCTGCAATCTTCAAAGTGTCTCTGTGACCTTGAAAATTAAGTGAAGGTCACCAAAATCCACTGGGCCCTGCGCCTTCCCTTGATGAAGCTTGGTGCCATATATGAAGAAACTCCAGTGAATGGTCCTTGAGGTATCTCGCTGACAAGCATAACATGTAGGTTAATATGCTGCAATCTTCAAAGTGCCTCTGTGACCTTGAAAATTAAGTGAAGGTCGCCATAATCGACTGGGCCCTGCGCCTTCCCTGGATTAAGCTCGGTGTTACATATGAAGAAAATCCAGGGAACGGTTCTTGAGATAGCTTAACATGCAGGGTTACATGCTGAAATCTTCAAAGTGTCGCCATGACCTTGGAAATTATATGAAGGTCACCAAAATCGACTGGGCCCTGCGCCTTCCCTCGATTAAGCTTGGTATTGAATATGAAGAAAATCCAAGAAACGGTTCTTGAGATAGCTTAACATGCATGTAAAACGTCCCCATTTGACCTTGAAATGAAGGTCAAGGTCACCAATCCTGACTCGGACCTTTCTTATAGTGTGATGAACCTAGGTACCAAATATGAAAAGAATCTAGTAAATGGTTCTTAAGATATTCCAATTCGTACGGACGTACAGACGGAGTCTAATACAATATCCCCCGCTTCGCGCTAAACGCACGGCAGGGGATAATTACAACTATAACATAGTTGAAATAACGTATGCAAACGCAATACACATTTAACATGCATAAAACATGTTGTAAGGCATGCTTAAGGCTTAAATGAAACAATAATGGTTGAAAGCAAACAAATTCTAAGCAACACAAACCATAAGCCCAAACCTTTCAACGGTGGCAAAGACAATTGACGTAAGTACCACATGGAAACAAGCGTAAATTATAACTAAAGGTCACAGTTTTTAAGAATGAATTTAGAACGTTGGGACGTAAAAGGGGACAATGTACATATTCGGAGTCTCAGACATTCTTTCAGTATACACAGAACATGTGTTGATGTATTTGTGACGGCAGAAAGAATGTTAATTTGGGGCACCAATACACATGGCTACCCGCGCATGCCCGATAAAGGAAGTAATCCTACATGGTTTGTGGCTATATAACATATACAAAACATTGCTACAACAGTCACAGGACATTTTCATATCCAGTTATATGAAAAGTCCCGTGTAATTCCGTGTGTTAGTCCGTGTCGCAACGCAACAGCCAGTTTTTCTATGGCTCTTACACAGTTCTCGAGCATTCTAGTCAGGTTAGGCTGTATCATTATCATTTTCTGCTCATCAAATAATGTCAACTTATGATATGGGAGACACATTCCCACACCTTAACTGAGCATCCACCATAGGTAACAGTAAGATGAATGCCCCTCGTCATATAAACAGTTTTAGTGCGCCTTCAGACTCTCAGACGACATCCATAAGATGAAACAGGAATTTGCTTTCATCAGACCAATGGATCCAGGTGCAGGTCCGAAGATTCCAACGCTGTCGAGCAAAGCACCATCACGTGCCCTTGCCTTTGATGTTCACGAGCCCGAGTTGGACCTCAAACCAAGAGTCTTGTGACGGTTATGCACGACATTGGTTAACAACGTCTGTTGGGCACCCAGATCTGCTTCAATCGGGTGTTGCGTTCACGGGCCAGATAGCTATCTTCCGCTGGAGCGGTCTTGCTTGTTCCCCTGGCCTTGAAATGTCGCTGCTCATTACTGTTTAAGTAATGATTACACGCATGGACAATGCAATTTTATTTTTACCCACAATGTCAGTTGCATGCAGCGAAATGTTTCATTGTTTTAAAGAGGGTAGGTGGACTGGTAAAATACATGCAAGTTTCCCGTTCAGTTGATCTGATCACAGACACACAATTATGAAAAGCCCGGACACACTGACGACGTGTATGATACATCAGTGTAAACCTATTCATTAAATGACCATTCCTAAGTTTAAGACTTTGTTTCTTGATTTACTCATGAAAGCCAATAAATATAACTTACTTACCTTCTGTACCACTCTGTTATCGATAACCTCCTCAAGCTCTCATTTTCATACTCGTAAGCTTCTGGGCCTTCCTTGTCGTAAAACAGTAAACCGTCTACTGCTGCTACAGCAACCTCCAGCACAAACAGGTTTTCCTCTACGGGATGGAATTGAACTTCAATAGTGTTGCGAAGAGTTTCCAGTCGCTCTCCATCGTATGTCACGATGATAGTATTGTCCTGTAAAGACTGGAAGATGGCGTCTTTAATATCTTGACGAAAATTGAAATCTCTGAAGTTTATGCCAGCTGTTGAAAACTTTTTAGAATGGTAGGTATCGTATTCTTTATCGTACTCGTTGATGCCAAGGAAGAACGACCCACCACCATCTAGCTTAGAAAAGGCACTTATATATTCACCTAACCGACATTCTTGCCAAACAAAGTCATTGAATTCGTGAACACTTTGCAAAGTGTGTTCCTTGTCAGTGCCCAAACGTTTTAGTTGAATGTTTCGCCGTTCATTGATCTGTGGTATTCCCCGAATTGACGCACGTTTGTCTTCAAAAAGTTTTTTCCGTTTTAGAAATTGTATGGCTACATTACTTTGTACATCAATTACACTGTTATCAAGCGATTGTTTTGATTTAAAGTTGAATGTTGTCACAATGTCAGAACCTTTTACATGGATGGAAACAAATCCTTTAAAACGATTGATAGTGTCATCGTTTGATTCGTTCTCTAGATACCAATCCTTCTGGTAACTGTCCACAAAAAGACTGCCATCTTCGATCATATCATTCAGTTTCACATCGACTAATTGATTAAAATGGTCGAGGCATTTGTCTTCCAACGCTAATCCCCGTAGGTGAACCAGCACAATGCCTCCTGCTGTGTTCCTCAGAGCCGATATGTACTTCCTAAGCTTGTCAACAAAATTCTTTCTCTTTTCTGACCATTCCTCCTCTTTGCGATAAGGTCTGTTTATTACCTTAACATCTTCATCAATGAGCAACACACTGTCCTCGGGTAGGTGGAAATCATCTTTATTTCTCAAAAACTCTGAGCAGGTCTCACAATCTGCAAAAAGACCATAAAAACATATGAAAGTTCTTAAGAATACAGCTTCAGTTATGTATGGAAGGCAAATGGCAAATGTCATTCTTTATCATAATTCTGGAACCTAAAATACAGATATGGTAATAGTCAATACACAAATGAATCAAGATTAGAGAACCTTACATAAATTGGCCATATTGTTAATGACCTTTTCATTACAATGGAAAGAATGCCCAAGCAAACATATCTGAGAAAAAACCCCATTACAGTTCCATTTTATCAAAAAGAAAATAATTACAATCCTGTAACACATGATATATTTGGCATTACACTTTCTCAGTAAAGTACAGATTTTAGTGCTTATGTTGGGTTGAGTCCCATCCGGGATTCGAACCTACACCCACAAGAGTCAGGCACCAATCGCCAGCACACAAGGTCAGCCGTCTAACCGACTGACCGAAATGGACTTTAAAAGAGTCGTACGACATTGTGGCTGGGCACATACCCACCTTTTTGAACATTAACTATCAGGACTTGTAGATAGTCCATCAACTCTGTATTCGTACGTTGCACCATCAGATGTCTGGGCATTTGAGATGTTCAGAACCTGAGACTGCCTATTCACTGACGCCTGTATGCGAGAGTTCAGCGCCAATACTGCTCCGTTCTTATACCACTGTCCTGCCAGGATGTTACTATGGGAGACGGTCGCCACGAGGGTGACCTGACTTCCAGTATTGACTGTTTGGTCAATGTTCTCAAATTGAAACACATTTCAAGATTATGGAAGTCTGGCAACAGGTAGTTTTGACCACCGCTTTGTGTACCCCTCTGATAAGTGTAAATTGGCGCGGCTCCCACCGCCGAAAGCTATGAATACACAAGGCATTGTGTATTCATAGTTTTTGGCCGTGAGATTTGATTGATTTCTTAAATACACATTTACTTGGTCATGGTGTTTCAATTTTTAGGTCATCTTCCTGTTTAACTTATTTGTAATGTGATCATTACAACACGTCTGTGGACAGGGTAAAATATGAGCCGGTTGTGTAATATTTTAATATCCACCCACAACCCACAATGTTTTGTTTCTTCAAAATAATAAAATCGTGACACTTGGAATTCAGATCGAACGATCACTTGATTGTCTGGTTTGCCTACAGGTAACAGGATCATGTCAGGAACACTGCTGTGAGACGTCAACAAATAGATAATTACCTTCTAGGCAAACTGTGAGCAGATGGAGCAATTATAAAGAGTAAATTTTTGTGGGTTTCGATTCCTTCCGTAGACCATTGTTTGGTTTGTTTGTTGTTGAACACCACACTCAGCAATATTACAGCTATTAGGCGGTCTGTAAATAATCGAGTCTGGACCAGACAATCCAGTGACCAACAGCATGAGCATCGATCTACGCAATTAGGATACGATGACATGTGTCAACCAAGTCAGCGAGTCTGACCACCCGATGAATTAGTCGCCTCTTACGACGGGACACTAAGGACCAGTTCTTACGCAGACTTTCACGGGTTCGTACTTCATGATAATGTCAGAGACTTACGATCTTCATCCGTCTCATTTAAATCCATCATTGCGCAACCAGTTACAGTCCATGTCCAGTTCTGTAAACATAGTGAACGTTATAAGGATATGAAGGTGACACATGAACTACATACAACCAAGTCGTCAATCCAACAAGAAAGTCAGCTTGTTCTTGAGGGTACTAAGCATTCCAGCTCATTTTGCAATCTGTAGGCTTCTAAGTGAGTAAGTGGGTGAGTATGGTTTTACGCCACTTTCAGCAATATTTCAGCAATATCACGGCGAGGGACACCAAATGGTCTCTACACATATTGTACATTGTAATTTTGTGGACAATTGAACCCGGGTATTGACATTACGAATGAACGCTTTATCAAAAGGCTACCCCTAATTCCCCATCTGTCAAACAACTTTTCTTCTTTAATTCCTTTGACTCGGTGCGACGGCTTCAAATAGGGACGTGAGTGTTGCGCTGAATAAGGGATATCGTTGGAGTTGCTTTAGATGCCGAACTGGGTGTTTTAGACATCCTCAGGGGGCATCATCATATTGAGCCGATACTACCCTATCAGTCATATACAGGACGGAATTAATCTCGTGGGGCCATCATGACCCGACAATTTTGTCCCGAGCTACCTGTTTGCTTACATGTGGTAATATGTTGTGTGCGGGAGATGTCGAGCAGAACCCCAGTCCAGTCAGCCAAGCAGAACTGGAAAAGCTCTTTACACAAATGACAGAACATATGGACAAACGAAGTGATTAAACTAAAAGGTATTTAAATGACAAGTTTAGACTTGTTGAGAAAGAGTGGAAGAATTTAAAGACGGATTTGATAAATTAAGTGTTGATTTCAAGAACATAATAGAGTCAGTTGATAGATTAGACACAAATGTGACCACTGTGACTGCCGATGTGCAAGGCTTACAGGAAGAGGCAAATGTTTTAATGTTTTAAGTCTGGATCTCCATACGCAGGTGACCAATAGAACAGACAAGTCAGTGCAATGGAGGATAAGGTGAGAGGACTCACGAAAGAGCTAGACAGGCTGGAATCCAACAGCAGAAAGGAAATGTCCGCTTGTTTGGAATACCTGAAGAAGAGGACGAGACTTCATTTAGGAGTCGGCACAAAATCTTGTCTATCCTTAGTGAATGCGTGACTGATGAGGTATGGCTGATTAGGGATATTTTAAGGGCGCACCGTGCTGATTGTCGCTCTGAGGATGGACGGCCCAAAGCAGTTATCCCCAGAGTCGCCCACCCTGACGATGTGGAAAGAGTGTTTGGCGAGAAATGGACCTCAGGGCTAGAGGTGTTCGGACTGCTGCAGATATGACAAGACGCCAGTGGACGGAGATGAACGCAGCACGGCAGGAAGGTAAGGCCGCCTACTACAGTCGAGGCAAGCTGGTAGTCATGGACGCTTCAGGAAGGCCATGTCTCTATGAGTTCAAAGGTAATCATGAGAGCTAGTCTACAGTGCACCGGGACAGAAACTCATTCAGTTTTCGTCTGAGCCATTATAGGGATTATATCGTGAGACTAAAGAATAGCGACACTCTACCAAAGGAGCCGGAGGCCATGGATAGTGTTGCCTTTACCAGTAGAAGTGACAGGTCGACAGGACAAGGCGTCAGTGTGAGTGAGGATGGTGTGAGTGCTCCTATCAGTGATAGGAGTTTGTGGTACAGTTTACTGATGATTATGATCGTGTTCCTGATGTGCAGTGTTAAGCGACTAGTGAGTTTCGACCAACTGAAACTAAACCAACACTGACCGGTAGGGCTCGTAGACACAACGCTTACAAGAGGAGAGAATCATCTACTCGCGAAACTCAGGGATGAATGAGTGAGTTTAGTTTTACGCCGCACTCGAAAATATCCCAGCTATATGGCGGCGGTCTGTAGATAATCGAGTCTGGCCAGACCATCCAGTGATCAACAGCATGAGCATCGATCTGCGCAATTGGCAACCGATGACATGTGTCAACCAAGTCAGCGAGCCTGACCACCCGATCCCGTTAGTCGCTTCCTCCGACAAGCATGGGTTACTTAAGATCAATTCTAACCCGGACCTTCACGAGTCCGAACTCAGGGGGGCGGGGCGAGGCGCAGAGTTGTATCAGAAACGTTATTCAACACTCAGATTAGGCAGTTGGAATGTTGCAGGCCTTTTGTCGAAATTGAATCTGGATGAAATTAAAATGTACTTGAATATATTTTATATTATCTTTTGTTTAGATCAGCTTGTGGACGATTTTGTTTGTTTACATTCGCTTGGTAGGCGAATTGCCCATTTTGGGAGATGTATGGGGGGTACATGTGTTATGATACGGAAAAGTATTTCCGACTATGTCCATAGAGTACCCTGCAATTATTCAAACCTTGTATTCTAAACATTAAAACGAACAGTTATACCGACTTCCGACAGATGTTTTACTTGGAGGTGTAAATATACCACCCATGACTTCACCTATGCACCAGCTACATGACCAGTGCGGTAACAT